CAGCGAGCATGCCCTCCCTCCGCGCCAGGGGTCACGTGCCTGACTGCAGACTGCAGGGCACTGCTGAGCTCTGCCACCCTCACCTCTGCAAGCTGAGGGTTTCCATGATTGCTTTTCACGTCCTTTGGCTTCAGGCCATTTAAAAATGTGTCAGAGCACCATCTCCACTCAGGAGGGTCTGTATTTTTAAGAAGTTATTATTTTAGTTTGGAAGAATCTAATGGCTAAAACACTCCACGAACTGGTTGCTAGTCAGAAATGCACAGTTCATCACCGCATTTTATTTATTACCTTTTACTTTCATTGATGCCATCAGAAGAGACAGATTTTGCAAAAGTTAACTTGTTTGCAGGAACAAATACAGATCATTTGATATTCTGTACTTAAATGCACATGGTAAATTTCCTTTGAAAAGAGCACCAGCTACCCCAGGTTTATATCTCCCTAATCTTAAAATAACATCCTACGATAAGAAAGAGATACCACCACCTAGATTCAGAGTGATTCAAAACACTGCTGCTGCTGGAACAGCCTCGGCTGCACACGGCAGACCTCTGCCTCTGTGCTAAGTCTTCTTTTAGCGGCAAGAAACGCACGCTGCCAGAGCGCAGTCCGTCTCCTCCTGTATCGCACATCTGCACGCTACAGAGGGAACACAGGGGACTGGTGCAGCAAAGATGTCTCCATCGGGGCATAAGGACACTTGGCTGAGCAGAATCACAGGGGTGGCTTTATCTGAATGTCTCTCAGTCCAACGCTCTTTTTCGGATGGGATTCACGTTACAGAACCTACTGTGAGTGGCTGCTGGGCTGTCTGTCCCTCTAGACACAGAGGCCTTAGGGATTGAGATTAGAGGCCGAGATGACTACTGAAGAAAAAGACTGAGATGCTGAAAAGACAAGTAGAAAATTATGAAACTGAATTTAACCTACAATCCAGTGATGACTCAGTTCAAAACCTTAAGATGGAGCAGGGGCAGCAGCCTCCAACTCCCCGTCACACCTAAGAGACTGCTCTTACATCCCCACCGTCACCGCCACTGAGACCTGCTCACAGAGGAGGACCAACACACCCCGGCACTCTGCTCACTGACCTTCTGCGCTCCCTGGCTTCCTCGGCTGAGAAGTCCTTTCCTGTAGTTGAGGCAGCACCGGCATTGGCAATACCATTAGCAGAGCCGAGTATAGCACGATTTGTGATTACACCTAGGGGGGTGCTAGCAGAGATGCCCTCTGTATTTTTCTCTACAGCAGAATCAGTTTGTTGCCTGAAAGGGGCTCTGAAATAGAGAAGACACAACGGAAAGCAAAGCAAGTGAACTCAACTGCTGACCAAGACCAGCCACCTCAAGGGAGCATTGACAGTTCATTCTCCTCGTTCTAGACTCATGTTCTTGTAAAGAACAGCACACATTAAAATGAGTTTTTAAAAAATTGTAGAAGAGTGAGCAGGAGGAATTCATAGTCTTCACATCCCTGTTTGCAGCAAAAATTATTAGAAAAATGTACCTGGTGAATAAGCAGAAGGAATGAACTCCAAGAGCTTGTACACTGGATGCCCAAGAGCAGCCCGAGCAGCACGCTGCGTCTCTAACAGGGCAGCAAGAGGGCACAACTGACCACTCCAGCAAGTGAGGAAAGCTAAGGTCGCATACGGGCTGCTCGCTGCTTGCTGGTGCACGCACGCTACTGAAACCGTCCAACGCAACCATTCTGGGATTTCTTATCAGAGCTTCCCGTGCGGAAGCACATTTCCAATCCACAATCCACTCCAGAAGGCAGAACTTCCAACCCAAATGCTGATTTTCTGCAGCGTTATCTCCGCTGTGAGCCGTTACCTGGTATACTGGCGGGCTGACGCAGCAGTGTTCGCACCGAGAGCTGTGGGACAGGCAGAGGCAGGTTGCCACGGGGTGCCCAGTGAGGTAGATGACCCAATGGTAGTGGGTGAGGTAGCTAGAGATGTATTGCGACTGGCTGAAATGTAGGGACTGCTGAGGTCACTACTTCTACCAAATGAAGCACTGTAAAACATCACAAAATCACGTCCTTCAGAGCACAGTCAATATTCAACAGAACATCACCACAGCCGGGCTCTCAGCTGGAAAGGGAGCAAGTATTACATCTTAGCAACATGTATGCACGGAGAGGAGAGTACCCCGGAGCGCCGCGGGTCGCCCCGGCAGGCTAGCGCTAGCAGCAGCCTCTTAGCAAGCCCCGCTGAGCTTCAGCGAGAGAACAGCGGCGCGGAGGTGAACCGGTGAAGATCAGCGAAGGGAAGAACCCCAGTGACCTGCTGCAGTGAAAGCGGCGCGCGCAGAGCACCCCTGTGTACTGGGGAACGGTGGAAACGGTGAGCAAGGATGAGGTTGCTTAAAGCAGGGAAGGAGAGAGTGACACAGGCAGGTCTGGCTGCATCACCTCCTGACGATGCCTGGGACTTCCAGTTTCAAGAACTTGTTTTCAGTGGCTTAAAGCTTTGGCAAAAGACAATCAGTTCAGGATTTAATTTTCTTTAAGGCATGTTTGGCACAAACTCTGTATTTCTGGAAAACAGCTAGCAAAGCTGTCCAAAAAAATTCACGAATGACCAGGGGAAATCCATATTTATCCAGTTTAAAACAAAACCCTTAAAGACATTGTTACTGAAAACTGCTGACAGGCTGCGATTCAGTGCTCATGCTTCGGAGAAGAGACAGGAGAAGAGGAGAAGGACTCTCACACGAGGATGTGCCCTTCTGCTTTTTCAGAGAAAATCCACCCTAGATGGGATAAGTTGCACAGCTCCAAGAACAGACTTGAAATCTGGCAAAATCTCCTCACTGCATGTGCCAGAGCCCCACATACGGGCTGCTCGTTGTCTGCACAGAGCACACGAGCATGCACGCGTGACCTAGGAACGTGCCACGCCTTTCCCAGCAACTGGTATTCCTGGTTACTACTGGCCAGACTGGGCTGTCTGCAGGATCAAAGGCTAGGAAGGCTGGAAGGCTGCCTCTCCCCTCCCGCACCCTAACGACCCCCGTGCCAGCATGCATGGAGGAAAGTGGCTGCAGCAGGGATAAAAGCTGATCTAGAGGGAAAGCCAACCGGGATAAAGGTTGATGGGGAACCGAGGGACAACGGACTGGAACTGGAAGTCAGCACTAGAGCAAGAGTCAGAGATAGCAGCCCGAGGCTGAAATAAAACTGGAAAGGGGCAGGACAAATGCCAAGGACAGGAGGCTGGAGGAAGGATCCAGCCCAATCCACTTAGGCACCCAGTTTACAAACCAGTTTTATCTGCCAAGGTCCCCAGCCAGCCCAGAACAAGCAGCTGGTCCCTAGACAGCCAGCGGAGAGCCTGGGGCATCCCGGAAACCCTCCACGGGGAGGAACCTTACATTTGGGCTCTTCAGTTGATGGCTGCTTGCCACATCCAGGTCACAAAGGAACAAGTAAGTTATTGTCACCAGGTAGCAACCTCCACTGGACCCCAAACAAAGCTTCCTCTGGAAAGCTGGCTCCTGCCTGGAGCATGGGGGAGCAGGAAGTCCTGCTGGAAGCAAGTGCCTCCCTTCTTGGCTCTCTGCACCAGAGGAAAAGGCCAAGCCCTGGAGATGGGCTGGGAGGAGGCGGGAGCAGGCAGCTAAGCCTGGCTGGTGCGGGCATGCAGAGCAAGCAGCCACGAAGGTGCAGAAATGAGCGTTTTGAGAGGACAATGGTAGTGGAGCGTGAGCCAGGGGAAGGAACAAGAGGAGCAGCATGAGAAAAGGTGGTGGCAACCCTGGGGGGGAGCAGTGTTGATGTGGCACCATCGTAGGAGACCCCAAGGCAGAGAGGCGGGGGCATGAGGGGGCTGCAAAAAAGAGAAGGAACTTGGTCACGAGGGGAGGACACAGGAAGGTTATCAAGGAAGACCTGAGAAGGACCATCTGTCAGAAGGGAAAGGTAATGGGTGAAAAGGGGAGACAAGAGGATGGAAGCAGCACCAGGTGCCTGGGAGAGCAGAGACGTGGGGGAGATGCAAGGGGAAGGAGGAGGAGGGGGAACGGAGGGAGAGAGCATGGCGGTGGCCTTGTGCCTACTCCTCCACACACGCGTCCTGGGTCAGAGAAACGTGGAGCACTGCCAGCTCTACGGGAATTCACCTCTCCACCCTGTCACCTTGCACCGGGGGCACTGCACAGTTTGAGGAGGACTCTAGGGCATTTATACAATTGTTCACATTAGATCTGAACGGGGCCAGAAAATTGCAGGAAAAAAGTTAGCTGAGGAATCTTGTTAATTAACAGCTGTGATCATATGAATCTGTAAAAGGGAGGATTTTGAATTTATGTTAAAGAATTGAATATTAGAAATAGAAAAGGCACTGACACACTGCTACTTATTCTTTAACATCATCACCGTAACATAACCATCAGGCAATGAGCAATGAAATGGAGAGCAACACTTCAAATCAATAAAAAGAAACACTTCTGAAAACAGCTAAGGCAAGCAGAATTTAAAATCTAAAGCCTTCAAAATCTTAAAAAGGTTCCACATACGCTCGTAAAAAAGGTTTGCACAAAACACATGACTATTTTTTTTTTTAACAGACTGCCATAGGGTATGGCAGAGATCAAAACAGGATTTGCTTATGGAAGTTGGCCACAGTGGTGGCTATTAAGAACAATGGTTAAGTATAACCCCTGGCTCCTAAAATCATGGTTGCTGGAAGCAAGGAGAGTGTAGGAGGTGGGAGACTGCTCGTAAGTTATCCTGGCTTTTGCAACTTGTCCCTCAAAACCAGCTGCTGTCAGAAACAGAGCCTGGACTGCAGGGACTGTTGGCCTGACTCGCTGTGGTGGTTTTTACGAGAACCTAACCAGTAAGGAGATACACCTATCTGCAAACACGTAAAATGAAGGAGAGACTAACTGTGTGAAAAAGCCATTTCCTTTCGGTGTGTGCGACCCCTCCCTGTGAGGCACCTCTTACGGCTGACGCCAAAGGAAGTACGCCGAATTAATTCAATCTGCTCTGCCACTTTTCCTCCAAATCCTTCAGCACACAGGCAGCGCGAACTGGCTGTCGGAAGGCCAATATGAAACGGAGAACGGGCTGTCGGAACGGGGTGCTGGGAATTCCTGGGCTAGCGATACACCCCTAGAGAACGCAGAATGCAGCCAGCCACGACCACTACAGAGAGCACTTTCACGTTTGCTTCAACTAAAGCTGAAGAACACCTGCAACGTTGCCGCAAGTGGTCCCCTTTTTGAAGAAAAGCCATTTTCAACATCTTAATATGATCTGTTGCTGTTGTTTACTCTTTGCTTGGGAGTCATATAAAGCACTTCTAGAACATAACCATGTATCTTTCTGGAGACTAGTTAAATACCGAGGTAAAGGGGAAATGCAGACGTACAGAAGTCGTCCTCTCAGTAACATCCAAGTATGTCATGTTCACTTTAATTCTTCCCCTCTCAGAACGAGCTTTTATCTTTTGGAGTTGTGTTCAGAGTTTTGTTAATACTTGGAAATGACAAAGAGCTCATCCTTTAACAGGCACAGGTTCCCTTCCTCACCTTAGAGGCTGACGCACAAGGCTGAAGAAATCTAGAGGTTCAATACAATTAAATATAATTTCTCTGTGCTCTTCTATAGAAAACCATACAGGATAGAGGTCAAATTGATCATGATTTTACTCTTTATACATACAGTGCAAAACCATTGATCTCTTTAAAAAAAGTAGACTTTATTCCTACCTTGCAAAGCCATTCTCTGTAATTGCTTGTAAATAAACACCTTCCTACGAAAGGCCGGAATGCAGCCTTTGTGTCAATAAATCGGGATTAGTGAAACACCCCGGCCAGCCAAAACCTTCGCTAGCCTCTGCACAGTTTAACCACGGAAACACAGTACAACTATGTGAATCTAATACTAAATCTGGTTCAGGAATAGCCGAGGTAAACAGTCCACATTTGTAAAATTTTAACAGACAGCCACGTTAGTGATGTTAGAGACTGCCGTGTCGCTCAGATTAGGGAACAGCAAGGCATGCCAGCAGCAAGAGGCACAGGTTTTCCAATGTAATCAGCTGCGGCTTGTCGGACTGCCTTTCGAGAGAGACAAGCTGTGGAGGCTGGCCTGTCATCATGTCCCAGGATAGATGTGAAGTCACTGGAATGGATCAGCAGAGCAGGAGAAGTCTACTGCTTGAAGTGGCTATCTGTTCCCCTTTTGTGGAAATGGGTCTGTACGTGCTCAGCAATTGGACAGACACATCCTTGAGCACAACTTACCTCTACCAGCCTAAGAACTAGAACAGGAAAAATCCACCTTTTCCCAAACATCTCAAGCAATTGCTCCATCTTCAGGACAGTTACTTAGTTCAGGGTCTAGAATTTGGTGTAACAATCTAAAACCTTGAAATTTTTCTGACTTTTTCCTTAGGCGCAGATCAAATGGCTTTGCAGCGTGACATGTTTATAGACGCTGTTCGGATGGCTCCCAGTATTAGCTGAAATAAAGGTGAGGTGATGGAACTGCACTTAGCACAAAGAGCTGATCCTGCTTCTCACAAATGAGATGAAAACTCAGTAATGTATTCTTTGCCTTCACAGAGCAGGGCATTCATTCACCTCATCCAGAGACAGCATTACCTGGTACTTCAAAGAAACTGAGCCTCTGCCTTCCAAAGGGGTAAAAGATGCTGCCAATTAAAGACACTATCCACAGGACTGCTCTCCTGATTCTGCCTGGCTAGTTCACCGACAATTGGCCTCTACAACTTCACATACACTGTGCAGAAACTGCTTCCTTACTGCCACAAGAAATCAGTTGGAGACGCCAGCCTCACTCCTTAGCAAGCGCTGCAAGTCATGCACAAGAACACTGCCACTTTTCCGATAATGATGCCATAACCATGGACTACTATAAACCAAAATCAGAGATGAGCTACAACTTACCTGTCAATAGCTATCTGAACAATGCCTTCAAACTGTAATTACTTTGTTCTCTTTTTATGATCAATTTTAGTTTTATTGTCTAACCATAATACTAGCATAAAACTGAGAAAACACTTTGCATTTGAATTATGTGAAGAAGAGATCTTTAAATTCAGTTTAGCAATTTAAAAATCAACAAAAATGATGGCCTTTCAAAAATATTATTTAGCATGACAAATGTCAGTAAATCTTAATTTTTCTTTCCTGCTCTCAGCAGAAGAGGGTCCCACGGCCAGTTACACTGATGCAGTAAGCAGCAAGCAGGAGGCTGAAGTCTGGGAGGCATGTTAGGAGTAGAACTGTCTGCCTGGGAACCCATGCGAGAGAGAACTGGACGTACCTTTTCAAGTAGGTAGATACGTAGGTAGTAGGTGCACCAGAATGGGGAGCTTCGCTTCCCTTTGATTCCTCCCTCCACGGCTGCCGGGTGTAGGAGCCGCTCCGCACTAGGTTAACAGCTGATTCTCTAATGCAGGAGAGAGCACGAGGTTTGATTAGAAAAAACTTCTGGAGTCTGCTTTTGCCTCCTTTACAGGCCACAACACAAACCCTTCCCTAAAGCCCGTGTGCACCAACGTTCACAGGTGACCCAGCTCACTGAAACCCCTCTTCTGGCCTTCACAGCAGTTTCTGTTACAGCCAGCTGTGGGACTTCAGAGCCACCAGATAATGCTTTGTATAGAGAGGAACAAGATCCTTCTGAGTCAGAAATCTTCCAACTGAAGTTTCAATTGTCCATAGAAGTAATTTAACATATTAAACAACGTTGTTTGGTATTCTCTCTGCCGTTTTGTATCAAACAACGTTGCATAACTGGACAGATATTGCAACTGCAGGGGAAGATTCTCTTCTCTGAGGTATCCAGGCAATGACAGTAAAGCAATTCAGTGTGGCAAATCCTATGCTGTAGTTAGCAGCAGAAAACAACAAAATACTTGGCAATAGCTAAAACTACTTGACAAGTTATCAATAAATAGTCCTTTTTATCACAGTTATCTGAAATCAGGGCTCCTTTTCCTAACACACACTTTGACAATATGTCCTATTCTTCTCTGGCCTTGACAGGACCTTGAGCTGTAAAGCAAAACAAATCCATTCACTCATCAGCCCGCAATTATTTTTCATTTTTCAATTGCCATGTACATGCTGATGCCCTTTCAGACACCTGCGGGTCTGCGAAGTCAAACTCAGCTTGTTCTGAAAGGAAAGAATATTGGGAAAAATCTGTCCTACCCAGCAGGCCTGGGCACCACCTGCTCACGCGGCCAGTTCTCCTCACTCCCCACCGCGCCGCGCGAGGGACGCTCGGCAGCAGTCAGCTGGACAGGCCACTCCGTACGAGCCGCTGCCAGAACCGCTCCAGCTGACCAGCGGACACAAATTGCCTGCCAAACTCCAAATCACAGTGACGGGCTGAGCTGAAGCAAGAACGCAGCAGTGAGGTTCCAGCAAGAGATCAGCAAAGAATCTCAAACTGTGCTGAAATTCTCTCAGGGTGGTCATCTGCCACGACTTCTTCCCAACAACTACAGCTCACAATGACCTCTCTGTACGTGCCTTTCTACCATGATTGTGGACATGGCTGGAAATGAGGCTAAGCTCAGGTTTTACTCCTTCTAGCACAAACTGTGAAGAACCTGTTTGTAGAGATTAGCTCCTCAAATATATCTTGAGATGCCAGGTATCTGTCCTATTTATAGTGTGGTTCTGTCCAGAACCAACCACACACATTCACCACGAAAAAAACTCCCGCAGTGGAAACAGTTCCATACGACAGAGCTCACAGACTCAAGCAAGTCAAAAAGTGACAGCCGCACGATCAAAGGCACTGAAGGTGACTATTGAGCAAGCGACAGAGGTACATGCGCAGGTGCCAGCTACAAAACGAGGCACTTGCATATAAAAGGAAAGACTATACATAAATCTAGTTTCCTGGATGGAGACCATACCCGTAGGAATGCAGGGGTGGAGAAATCAGCCTGTTGTCTGCCCACCTAAATGAAAAGCAACGTACCAGAACTTTTACAGATGACAGATAGCTCTCGATATTGTGAATTCCCATGTACTCAGGACTGCTGAGAAAATATATGCACTATGAATATAGGAAAAAGGCCATTCTGGAGGAACTACTGACAGGACAGAAGCTGAGCATTAAATTCAGACAGTCTCACCTGTTTTCTTTTTCTTCTATATCACTCGTACTGCTTAGTCTTCTGGGGGCTATTGTGGCAAGATAGCTCTTGTTGTCTTTATCCTGGTGAAGAAAAAGAAGTAATTCAACTGCACATCTGCTACACTTCCAGCACATTCAGCGACAACTGAATTTCTCCTGTCTAAGGACAACGGGTTTAGGGCATTTTCTTGGGCAACGCATACCACAGCATAAAAGTATTAGTTCTGAAAATGATTTCCTGAAGAGCATGCTAGTGAATAAAAGTAGCTACTAACTTTAACTACTTATAAATCATAGAATAGTTTGGGTTGGAAGGGACGCCTAAGGGCCATCCAGTCCAACCACCCTGGAACAAGCAGGGTCATCTTCAACTCGACCAGGTTGCTCAGAGCCCTGTCCAACCTAACCTTGAATGTTTCCAGGGATGGGGCATCTACCCACGGGCAGCGAAGTTACAGCTAATGAACACGTGGGATGGGATTCACAAAGACAGCTGGTGGATACAGGAGGAATCCATATAGATGACAGTGAAGGAGAATTTCCACTGCAGGTATGTGCTACTGTCTGGATTAGTTATTTGGTGGTAAAGAATGGACCATGCCAGACTGGCAGCCCACTCCAAACTGAGCAGTAATTAGGCCAAAGGGGCACCAAACTCCGGTTCTGCGAGAACAACTGACAGGATAGGAATGATTTTCAAAAGAAAAAAAAAAAAAAAAAAAAATGAAAGAGACCTAAGTTTGTGCTGGATACAAAGCCCAGCAATAACTCAAAATGAACGGGAAAGGGTCTTAAACCTGTGAGGTAAAGTCTGCTCAACAGGGATGCACTAAAACACCTTTGCTGAAAGCCAAACCTTGTCTTTATTGTCTAATAACGCAGATATTCGAGGACTTGACGAAGAACGATAGATAGAGGAAGTCTTATCTCTCTGCGCCTCACGAGTAGCAGCGACTTCACTCAACATGTTGTGACTGCCAGTCTTCCGTAGTCCCAGCCGCCACGATGACGGTGACTCATCCTTCTGCTCGTCCGTCTTGCCGAGCCAACTGAACTGTAGAGGAGAAGGGACATTTGGAAGAAGTAAGAGCACAGCAAGGCACAACTGAAGTTCTGAAAGTATTTCAACAAGCCTCAATTTTTGCTGGGCTACACTTGTGAACGTAAGATGAAGTGACTGCTTTCCTGCTTAGCTTTAATTAGAGGACATAGCTCAAGGTGAACTCACAGGGATGCAAACTGCTGTGGTGCCCTCATCCCCAGGGAGAGACAATGAAAGCAGTCTTGTGTCATTGTGCAGCTCTTTTTGCCTACACAGTGCCCTCCCCTCCAGCTTTGCAGACACAATACAAGGAACAATGCAGCTTGCTGAAGCACCTGTTTAGGAAGGGGAAATTATTCAATAAAGGCAGAACACTGAAAAAAGTAATCGGCTCTTTTGGGACTACCCAAAAGAGCTTAAAACCCTTACACAGACCAAACTGGAGAGAGTCCAGGAGAAGCCATTACGATCATTAGGGAGCTGGAGTACACAACACGTAAAAGAGAGAGACTGAGGAAACCTGGCTTGTTTAGCATGGAAAAGAGAAGGCAAGGAAAAGATTTAATTGCTCTACTACTTCTGGGTTGGAGTTTACAGAGGATATGGAACCAGACATCTTCTCAACAGTCTACAGTGAAAGGAGAAGTAGGAACAGACCCAAGTCCCAGCACGGGACATCCCAACTGACGTGAAGGAAGACATACCTCCTGGTAGGAGCGACGCTGCCCTGGGACAGGGAGCAAGAGAGAGTGGGGCACCTCCATCCTCAGGGCCTCTGCAGTACTCAGCTGAACTCAGGCAGTTCAAAGCAACACGACAGAGGCTTGAAGTTGTCCCTGCTTTGAGTAACAGGCTGGACTACAGACTTGCAGAGGCCAGTTCTAGCTCAAACCTTTCTAAGGTCAGGTAATCACATGTTCTATACATGTTACAGAACGGAGCTTCGTGCTTCTTGTTACATGAGACACTTCTGACAAGCATGTATTATCCCTCAAATATACAACTGCCTAGATGTACGCCTCTAGTTACAGTTATCAAGTCTTGCAAAAAGATGCCTGCTGCCATTCAAGAATGGAGCCTGGGCACCACAAGAGATACTTCTACAAAGACAGGGGCTCAACACTGAGTTGCATAGGAAATAAAGCAAACAAAACATTAGGAATTATTGGAAAATAATAGAATATGAAGCACAACACCATTATGCCTCTGTGTTACTGCAGGGTACAAGCACACCTTTGGTACTGTGCACAGCTCGGCTCCACAGCTCAAAAGCAGGAGAGAAAAAGGGGAAGAGATTCAGGGAACGGCAACAAGAACGAGTAGAGCAAGAGAGCTTTTGCATGAGGAGTCATTCAGCGTACCAGGAGTCTCCAGGCTGAGATACAACCAAGGTACACAAACTCCTCAGTGGCACATAGAAGGGTGAATAATTACTCCTCGTTCCTTTCCATAAAGGAACCAGGGGCAGCAAACAAAACCATCATGTGGCAGGGTTAAAGAAATGGGTGCAGGAAGCTCTGTGTAATGTGTAATTAAGCCAAAGAACTCTCTGCCACTGGACATCATAGGATCCCAAACACTATGGGTGCTCAAAAAGTGACTGCGTAAATTCATACAGGAAAAGTCTAACGGGGGTACCAAATACAAAAATACCACAGGTTCAGCAAGTCCCTGAAATGCAAATTGCTAGAAGGTGCGAGACAAATCCAGCTAGATTCTGTCTTCTCTAGTATCTTTTGATGGTCACTGTCCAGGGCAGGATACTGGGGTAGACAAGGCTTTTGGTCAAAGCCGATGCAAGCATTATTAGACCATGTTCTACATAACACGAACCACCTGACATTATCCAGAACAAATGAAGCTACTGGGGAGCTCTGCCCTCAAACTCTTTGGCCCAAGACTGAAATCATAAAATTATCACTGCAGTATTTTAGTAGCGTTTCTTAGCTAATGTTATTTTAATGCAGATGTACAGAGTTAATCTCCTGTAGTCCACTAATTCTGGCACTTCCAGCCTACTGAGCTACACAGCCCTAACGCTTTAATGTAGTTTTGACACTTTCCTCAGAGAAAGCTTCAATCCACAGTAAACGCTGCCTTCTGCAATTTCTGGACAACACAGGAACGGCAAATATTAGTAACTCCACAAACGAAGGGCAACACAAGCACTTGTATTTTCCCACATAAAACCCAATCTGATAGAGAGTTACAGAAGAATCAAACATGTAAGCGAGGTAAAGCAGCCGATCTTAAGTGACTGATGTCAAATTAATAACTGCTTTGCACACAAGCCTTCTTCTATACCCTAACAGCCTCACCCTGGGTTAAACAGCTCAAATGAGCGAGAGCAACACTCTGCAGCAGTTAGGAAAAGGTTAACTGAAGCGTTTACACTTCCCAGTATCCTTCTACCTTTCATACTTCCCCTGCTAAGTCAGCCTGGGTTGAACAACACCCAGAGGAGCTCTATCTCATTTGATCTGGACGAGAAGGTACACTTGGTAGCATGTCAAAAAAGTGTGACTAAGCGAGCAGCATTTTCCCCTCTAACATGTACCTAGAGATTCCGACTTTGGCAAGGTGCCTGCACTGTATAGCTGTCCTCCATATTCTGGTGCAAAAAGACTCTAACATGTACCTAGAGATTCTGACTTTGGCAAGGTGCCTGCACTGTACAGCTGTCCTCCATATTCTGGTGCAAAAAGAAAGCAGAAGTGTATGGTACCAGCCCTCCGCAGAACACAGTCTCCTGGTGCCATCTAGCTGAATGATGCGAGAGCTGGAGAATTCAGGTAAGATTTCAGTAACTCTGCTTCTCCTTCAGAAAGCTTTCATAGCCTAGCCATCTTGTCAGATGCAAACTTTATCCTCTGTGCTTACTGGCCCATAACATAACGCCACCAAATCAACCATGTCTGGCAAGTCAGAGGCACTTCAAATGATGATGATGCCAAACTCGCTGCTGGCACACTGGCAGGAGCCAGCTTTGGTGAAAGATCACCTGCTGCTTAGCGACTGGCACCAGCTACCTCAGAACTGACAGCCACACAAAGCACTTGCGCTAAGCAGGGCTTCTCTTGTGAACAGCGCAATTTGCTTCAGAGAGCAAGAGATTCAAGAGGAACCTTATCATACAAACCTCCTCCTTCATGCCAGTCCTATACTGATGCTAACACAGCATCCCGATCAAAACTGCACACTATCACGCGTTCCTGAAATCACGTCTTGCAACTCCTCTGAAAATCGGTTTCGGAGCGTACATTTCCCAGAAAACCCTCCTGCTTCCAAGCTCTGCTGGAGTCCCCATTGCTTCCCAAGTCACTTACTCTTCTGGCAGATGCAGTGAAGGAGTTGGACTCTGGTGGTGGTACTTGCTCGGTGATGCTAGGCCTGGTCTCATGACTGGAGTGGTTGGCAAAGGGCTCTTCCTTCCTTTCTACAATTTTAAACAAGAAGAGAAACCAAATGTTTCAGTATTGCACTTCCAAGGCCCTTCTTCACCAGCACAGTGTGCACTAAGCTCAAGTTCAGCGTCGCTGTGACCTCAGTACACCTTCGATCATAAAGAGGGTGTCAGTGCCAAGGCAGACCAGGGCTTTCTGCAAGGAGGCTTTCTACTTACTAACAAACACGACTTTCCAGGCAAAGCTTTTGAACTTCATCCCCACAGACAAGCAAAATCTTTGCAGAAAGCACCTTAAGCAGAACAACCAGCTTTTTTTGTTTAATTCACACTTTAGTTTCCTCTCAGGGACTGCTCTTCCCTCGTCCCCCCTGGGCAGAGCAGCAGAGCGTGCCGCTCCTCCGGCAGCGGGCGAGGATGGGTCACAGCACCCGTCCCCGGCTCGGCCCGCTGGTGGACTTCATTGCCCAGTTCTGCTGCAGTTGCTCATGCTGGCAGGCAGAATTTCTGGTCTTCTACAGCAAAATCCATTTTTCTACAGGCAGCTAGGACTGATTCCCAGCTAACGCTCAAAGCAAGCTAAGAAAACACTACCACAGCTCACAGCTGGCTCCCTGCCTGTTAGACAAGTGCAGTCGTGCAGTATTAAAAGTGTTTCTGTATCTATGCACCACGCTTGACTTAAGAACATCCACCAGACATTACCGGGGGAGAGTAAGCAGAAACTATGTCTCGAGCAATGGGTTCAACCGACGGGAGCGCACAGGGCTCGAGGACAGACCAGACAGCAAACACAGCCAGGCACAAGGGGCCTGCAAAATGATGCACCTACACCAACAAAGCAATGCTTTCCTCTCGCAGCTGTAAGTGCCTCACACAGTCATGGTTTTGAAGAAACAAAGTAATTTTCAATGTAACCATGCAAACAGTATTAGCAAACGAGATCTGTGCAGTGAATAAAGATCTTTTATTTCATATAAAAAGTAGTTTAGTATGGAGCATCTGTGAGGATGGCACCTTGGAGCACGAAGATCAATCTTTCTGAAACAAATGTTCTCGCTCCTAGAATACAGGGTTCAAAGGACACGAAAACAGAAAAGAGCAAGCCAAGAGAAACATTTAAAAATAAGAGGCAGTTAGCAGGTCTGACAGATCCAGAATTATAGAGACAAAGCTGCACCTCCCCTAGGAAGGTCTGCGTGATACTGAAGCCTCACCCACCTTTCTCTCCTCTTGTGTTATCTCAGAACTTCCATCAAAGCCATCTAAACAGAGTATTTAATTTCTTGAGCCTAACACTCAGGTGCACTGCACTTTTAAAAAGCCCTTCTAGGAAGAGCTGGTAGATCACCCATTCCTCCTTGCAGGCCTGACTCGGCATACAGCAGCCCATGGCAATACATACAGACAAAAACTGCACGCTGGCCATTTGCTGATTTCTTGAGAGCAAAGCCTGCCAAACACCGGAGAACCCTCGCCATCGCAGGGAGGGGAGAGCTGACCTGTCCTGACAGCCAGCAGGCTTCGCAGCCGGGGCTCAAGGGCAGCTGGTAGCCTGTGCTGGAAGTTTGTGGTACAGGGGTCAACTTCTGAGGTCAAGCCTAATTACAAGGGCACAAGCTGAAGTGGTAACGACAGGTTGGAAAGAAACTCTTAACTGTGAGCAACGCGACCGAAAGGAGTCGATCGCAGCAGGGCAGGCAGAAGCACCTCGTACTGGCAGCGTGAGAGACTGCACTACCACTGGCATCGCCGTCCTTCGAGGAGGAGCCCACTTTTACTAAAACTTCAGCAATAAACATTATTTTTCAAAATTCCAAACAAGGGAAACAGGTCAAGATTAGCTCAACCTCCCCAAAACAAATTCAACAAGGCTGAAAATTTATTTCTCCAATTTGACATAAATGCCATTTTTCTTAAAGAGTTTTTTTGGGAGTTTCCTGGTTTTGTTTTTAAACATTGAAAGCTTCCCTGGTCTGCTTTAATTCACAATAATTACCTATTGTAATAGTTACCAGCACAGATAATGACTCCAGAATTTTATATTGATCTTTCTTTTTGTTTATATACAACCCAATGCCAAATTGTGAGTTGTCCAAGATGAATAAAATGGCAAAACTGCAGTTAGCTGTTTGTGTTTGAAGAACACAAATGTCTTTGACTAAGAAACATGGTACTCTGAGGCACTCCAACAGTTTCACTGCTCACCTCTTCAATTTTCTCCTCCTCCCACAATCTCTGCAAATTCCATAAATTTATCACAACCTCCAACCCTTCAAACCATACCTCAAAATAAACTTCGGTATTCTACTGACAGCTTCTACTTTGTCCTGCATTATCCTCAGGCACCAAAGGAGTTAATTTCTTTTGATTTAAAAAGATCACTCATAACAGTATTTTGGCTTTTTTTTTTTGCCTTCATCTGGACTTGGGACGCTTTCTGACAACAGTTGTCTTCTCTCTGTCCAGAACTGCTCGGAATTACAAAGCTATGTGAATATTAAATCTCAGAAGAAAATCAAGAGTAATACGGAAATAATTTCCATGTTTGCAAAAGCACGCCTCCTGTATCCATACAAGCATTTAAAATGTCTAGCAGATAATCAAGCATAATTGTTCTTAAGATTGTGTTTGAAACTCATAACACTGTGACATTTATAATTTTCTATGAAAAGCTGTTTTCCCTGCTTCTCCTCCTATAACACTTGGGCCGATGCTGTTATCTCATGAACCTTGTTTTAAAAAGAGTATCGAAAACGTGCACCCCATTCACATATGCCACAACTGACAACGATTTCTACATCCAGCTGGACAAGTTCACGTTGATTTCATTCAAGATTCAAGAATTACAAGGTAAGGTTTCAGTTCTGATGGAAATTTCTCAAAGGAGCCAATAATCTCTCCAGGGAAAAAGAGCACAGGTAGCAACAGTCTTCAACTTGTTATAGCTTTAGTGGTTTGAAACAGATCTGTATAATGTGCTTTGCTCAGTGAAGTAACTCAACAAAAAGAACTGCTCTGGCTTTACACAAAATTTAACACCGAGTGCTGTAGCACTTCCCTTGCTGCAGGACCTCGTGCTGTTCCCGAAGCAGCTCAGCACCACGCAGCTCCACTGCTCACAGCCACACATGTTCGGGGCGTTTTGGTCAAGTTTTACCATGTTTACAAGAACTGACACACAGCTACCCAGGGCTGCTGTCTAGTAAAACCCGATTTATGGAGCAAATAAATGCGACTACTTCTGCATGCCTGCTTCTACCACCGATATCTCCACTACATTTGCTTGATTTAAAAGCCAAAAGATTATTTCACCGTGCTGCTGTCATACCCCAACAGCATTTGTAACTACCAGCTCTGCAAACAGCAGCCAGGATTCTCAGCACCTCTCATACTGTGATAAACATCGTAATTGATACAATTACAACACAGGTGACAATTTTACTGGCACAAGAAGCAGGACAAAACTTTAAACTACACTTCTCCGCAAGGACTTCTGCATCAGTATACTGGGACACAGGCCAAGTAAGCTGATGGTAAAAGTAGTTTAATCATTAAACATCTCATAGCCCAAGATCCTTCTCTCTTTGCAGAAATATTAAGTACAAGTAAGTCTTGGCTTACTGTAAAATTAAGTATCTTTATTTAAACTTTCTGTGCTGCACATATATGCTGTTTAAACTAATTAAGGAAGCCTTACAAATTATGGAAAAAGAATGGGATTGAAACGAAGGAAGTAGGATGCCAGCAATAAGCTATAATGTAAAGGCCAACGTGACTCAATGTACTTCACCCTTATTTTCCACTCTGCTCTGCAATTCTTATACATCACAGGCAGAAAAAAGTTCCTCACCTCTATAATTACACAGAACAGCTTCAGCCCTTCACTTCATTCCTCCGATCCAAATACAACAGGCTATTACCTTCCTACGTGTTCAACTGCATTTCTACCATCTTCCAGTAACTGAAGCGTTCATCCTGAAATTGGCCAATGAGAAAAAAAAACTACTGTGTAAGAACAACCTGGGAACAACATGTTAGCTTAAATTCATGTGAGCTGGAAGTAGAATTTAAAATGCTATCCGCAGCTTTTTTTTTGGAAAAATTCTGCTGCCTTGGGAGTCAGCATTTAGACCAGCTTTTTTAGCACACTAGCTACAGAGTCCTCCATATTCTATACCTGTACCCTCAAAGCAAGACTTTCAGGATGTCTTTAACAACTAGGGAAAACAAAAAGGCAAGCAGTTATCAAACCGATCCCCTAATGCTGCTAGGCTAATTGTTAAATCCAAGACTGTACTAAGCCTTACCTGACTCCTTTTCAGCATCTGATTCTGAAACTTCATCTTCTTCAGCTTCCTCCTCTTCTTCAGAGCTAGAACTGCTAGAGTCCTTGTTCTCTTCCTCCATTTCCACGGACTTCAGCGTGTCCTCCTCATAAAGAATCTTCTCTTTGCTGCAAGATATAGAAATTTTACGGAGCACCAGGTGAGTGAGTTATTTCCGAGTTCTGCTTCTCAGGAACATGTATAGACATGGTTTGCTACATACAGAACAAGCAAAATGACAAAAATCCATCTGCAGACTCAACATCCCAGCACTGCCAGCACTGCCAATTCGCCATGGATTCCAATGCCAGTCTCACATTTCCTAAATTTGCAAGAATTTTCTCGGTCCAGAAAAAATGTGGTGTCTCTTTTCTTAGTGCAACACAACCCCTTGGCTGGGCTGTATGGCCCTGTGCAACTGCAAAGACGCAGTTCTCAGCCCAAAGGTCGAATTGATACTCCACAAGAGCAGCAGATGGGGCACCAAGCCCCAGCCCCACTCCTTGTTCTGCCATTCCGTGGGTATGCTAAGAAACAGTTAAAATTGTATTTAAGAGAGCTCAAGTTCAAAAGAAACCATGAAGTGAACATCAACAGCAGCAAGCTTTTTTTAAACCAGCTGAGGCCAGCTGACGGCTAAGAGACGAAGTTGGCCTCCCACCACACTCCATGCAGCTTCTTTTCAATGAAGAGGAAAGAAACATACTTGGTGAAGAGTCCGCTTTGAGGCTTGCCATTCATGTCAGCTTCAATTAGCTTATTCCTCGTCTCCTTCTCACTTCGCAACTGTCAAAAAGTCCAAGCAGATTGGAGAAAGAATGAAAAGTGACATCTCAACAACCCCCTCAGTACAACCCGACAATTACCACAGCATAAGGTCATCCCCACCTCGTCAGATGAAAAATGCTGTGGATCTGTTTAACAAGCCAGTTCAACAGGTGCACATCTGCAAGAGCACGGGATGTCCTGGACTAGAGCTCCGTAAGGGCACAGCCACACACTCAGCACGTCCTCAGAACCAAACTGCAATCAATAAAGGCTTCCGAGGAGGCTGCAGCAGTCCCTGCTGAGACCTGGAGTCAAATCCTGACTTACACAGCACTGCCGGGCACCTGCCCACGCAGACCCTGTGCTGGAGCTCTGTCCACATCTGTGTGCACGCCCATGAAATCAGGCCAGCTTCAGTGTAAAATCTGCCGCCTCTGCGTTATTCACTTGCTCTCCAAGGAAAGCATTCACACAAGCCCTGCACAGGCAGCTGACGGATCGCCCACGAGGACGGGTCACTCGCAAACCTCTCAAATGCCAGCGTAAGCCATCGCACAAGAGTACCTGTGACCACCGCAGCAACTGAAAGGTTTTGCCCAGAGAGCAGCAATATGAATTTTGTCACCACTGATGGCCAAAACAGTAACCAAAAACTTGTTTGCTGCCTCCTAGGAGTACAGACACAGTTGAGGCAGAAAAAAGGATGGTGATTAGAGGCTCGCTTTGAAGGCTGTCTCTTTTGTGCCACATCAAGCCCAGTTAGCCTTTCTTTTTTGACAGGAGCCGACACCAGGCACAAGAAGCAAAAGCTCTGCAAATTCTGAATGTAGGAAGCACTACATGGAATCCAGCAAAGAGCCAAAATTTGGGGTCCAGCACGTCGTTAAACAGAAGAAACCGCTGGAGCACAGCACAGAGCACAGCAACGGGAAGTGCAGGAAACAGCCTGCTCCATTCAAAAGGCAAGTCAGAGATCAGGGTAAAAAAATCCAAACCCACATCAAATGAATTGCTTCCAGCAAACAAATTCCCCTCTTGTCTCCGATAACAGCAGCAAATCTTTTAGGAAGTATGGCATATTGTTCTGCTGCAAGCTGTAGATTTTCAAAAATCTGATTTGAGAGCCATTTTGAAAGTGAAATGATGTACTTAGAGGCATGTTGTGGAGCTGCCTATTTCATCCTCAGCAAATGTAAGTTTTCCATGTTGAGAGATAAAAATGGCATATGATAAACACACATGATGGCATTTCCATTAAAAAAATCATATCCACTAAAAAGTGTGATAAAATCTAGATTCTTCTCTTCTTCCCAGATCTACTCTAGCTTGCTACATTCAGTTAATAAATGGAGAAGCCTTTATACAGTGCTACCATACAGTGAGCAAGGGGGGTTGCCACCCCTGTGAAGCCAGCCTAAAAATGGGCTTGCACCCGCCCCAAGAAAATTCTTGTCATCGTTTTGCTTTTTCTTTTTTTCTGAGGAGTGCAGTTATCTGCAGAATCCCAGTGTAGTGAGATAGGAGGAAATCCAAAATACAACACCGATAGTATTTATCAACACCTCATTTAGGGAGAAGCTGATTAATTTTTAAAAAGTTTCTGTGGATGTTGCGGATGCTATTTAAGGATGACAGCAGCTGTGTTGTGATCAGAGCTTGAGTTCTACCACCCACACCGTCAGTTCCTCAAAATACTGTACTAGGTTTTATCAGCAGTGTTCTCATTATGTCTGTTTCTGAATCCAACTTTTTAAATTATACTTACTGATTTTTATTTTTTTAAAGAAGGTTTCTTTGTTTTTTGGAAGCACCCAAATGCGATAATTGAGTAGACCAGATGAAATAGGAAAAAATGCAATCCAAAACCAACTTTCTGGCTTGACGACTGGCTTTATTTTGATCAAGATATATTTTTGTTTTCTTTTCTTATGACAATTTCCTGCTTACAGCCCCTTCCAATATCCCCATTGCATTATAAAATGCCAATTTAATATGGTTTTGAAATCACCAATTTTTTTAGACCAGAATTCCCTGAAGTTTATAATTTCTTCTCACTCAAAAGTCTCCCTGTCGTAAGAAAGGCAGACACGGTAACAGATCTCTTTCTCAACACTGACAGCGTATTTCTTTAGATGCAAACACAAAGTTGGCTTGGGTAATCACTCATTAAGAAAAGGGCAGTTTGACGCTGAAGAGCTTGCCAGCTAACAAAAGCAACTGCAGATTAATAACAGTTCCAAAGATGAACTATACACTCCTTACCAGTCTACATAATTCTGCATCTCAGCACACTGCTGACCTTCTTGATGCAGTCATCCAGATTTCTAGCTATTAAAAATACTGGTGTAATTAAAGATTTCAAATGACTAACATAAAAAAAAAAAATTGGCTGGGCCTCAGCTTCCTGTGTCTGGTGATGCCATATGTCTTAGAGAACATCCGTGCGTGAAAAGGTAATTGGAGAGGTGGAAAATTACGGCAGAAACTCACCACAGTCTGTTTCTTCTGCAGCATTTCTAAATGCTCAACCAGCCCCTCATCAGCCACGTCGAATGGCGTCTGGCCCTGATGCGGTAAGAGAAGACAAGAGGACATCCGATACGGCGTGGTGCCAACACTCAAAAAAAGCACTATTTACCAGCAAAGCACAAAAGTGAACACGGCCCACACCCTCCCTCCCTCCCAAATGCTGTGTAACACACTCTGCTTCACTCCAGAGCAGGAGAGTTCAGCACAGTGATGGTGGTTTTATGACTCCATCCATGATCAGAGCAACCTTAATCATGGAAGTGCAGCTCCCTGATTGCTGCTGCTCAAATCTAAACACCCAGGACCGACATATTTGAGTTTCCAGCTTCTAAAAAGGACACTTGTACTGCGCAGGAATGTGATCAACCTGTTCTACCACATCATTACGTATTTGAACCTTCAGCAGCAGGCCAAAAAATTTGGCAGCTGCTTCCAAATCCATGAGCATTTACAAAATAAAACAAACCAGAAAAGTTACTTTGGGGCACAAACCAAGAAATCAGTTACATTTTCACTGCAGCTAAAGCTGTAATACCCGTTTAATTAACAATACATAATTCAACCTGATGGCTGGGGATCATATAGCTACAGGCTGCCCTGACCATCTGACCTAGGCAGGCAACAATCCTTGAGCGGAAAGAGCAGGTAATGCAGCAAACACCAGTGTGCCTGTTTCTTTTCAAGTCTAGCACAACACAACCCACACACATTCTGAACACTTTGGAAAAGCTCCTGATGGCACTTCAACCATGAAAGATTCCCCATACTTTGGATGCCACAGAGCTCACCAGGCTAAAATGGCTCCTTCTCATAGAGCCACCTCTTCCACGTCGGTTTCCAGCAGACAGATGTGCTCAAACCATACAGCACCACACTTCTCTTATCAAATGTTCTTGCCTGCTTTCATTCCCGGGTGCTGTTCCAAGTACACAGAACCTCAGTTCCTCCTCCAAAGCAGCCAGGTACAACTGAACCTGCTCCAGCAGGAAACGCTGCACAGACACTGCCTGGAGATGGCAGCTGGGAGGGGAACACAGAGAGCAGCCCTGGACCAGCACACGGCAGCTCTTGGATGTCCAGGTGCTCTTCAAGAAAAGACTTCTAACTGTTAGCATGGAAGAAGAATTTTTCTCCTTTTCTTCTTTTTTCTTCCATTCTATTTTTCTTCACTCATTTCCCATGAATCTGAGCCAATTTTTCAATTTCCCTTTTTATGACCATTATAGTAGAAAAGATTTTGAGCTGCCAGTTTCTCGAGGGTTCACTAGTTCCAGTGTCTTCTACCTCAATATCAGCAAATTATTTTGCACTCCAAGATGGTCTTTTTTGTTGTTTAATTTGTCAGCATTACATTAAAACAGGAAGACACATATTAGCCCCCATCCTTTCTTACAATCTTGGTCCTAAAGTTTAATCCCTGATCTTTTCCAGCAATGCTCGAAATCTTTCCCATCTTCCTCCAGTTGAGATTATTTTCTGACACTTAAATGCTCCAGTGCACACCCTAGGAGCACGGCTCACCGTGTAACTTCGTCATGGCGCTGGACCAAGTGGCAGGCAACAAAGCTGACATTCATCTGGCTACAAAATCCATTGCGTAAGTTGGGCCAGCATCGGTGCGTACTAACCAGCTTGTTTCTGATGTCCATGTCACACAGCGCCTCGGCCAAGATGGAGCAAGCTTCCTTCACTCCCCAGTGCGCAGCCGCATGCAGCGGGGTCCAGCCGTCATTGTCCTGGACGTTCAGATTAAACCCAGCCTGGATCAAGAGCCTGAGGAAAGAAGCAATATTGATTTCTGCCCACCCGAGAATGACTTCTCAACACAGAAGAGTTCACACCGTGAGCCACCAAGCAGGTAACATGGTTCACAATAAGCAAGTAGTTTGTTAACTTGTTTATTCCCCTAAGCAACATCCCACTTAACGTGCTTGCAACTGTAACAGAAAAGGGCAGTAACCTGAAAGAAACGTGACTTTGCTGTAAAACCTGCTGGAACGTGCCTAGGCGATAAGGTTCACAGAATTACAGAATGTTTGGGGTTGGCAGGGACCTTTGTGGGTCCCCCAGCCCAGCCCCCTGCCCAAGCAGGGTCACCCAGAGCAGGCTGCACAGCACCGCGGCCAGGCGGGGCTGGAATATCTCCAGAGAAGGAGACTCCACAGCCTCCCTGGGCAGCCTGGGCCAGGGCTCCGTCACCCTCAGAGGGAAGAAGTTCTTCCTCATCTTCAGCTGGAGCTTCCTCTGCTTCAGTTTGTGCCCGTTGCCCCTTGTCCTGTCGCTGGGCACCACTGGAAAGAGTCTGGCCCCGTCCTCCTGACACCCACCCTGCAGATATTTATTAGGTCCCCTCTCAGCCTTCTCTTCTCCAGGCTGAACAAGCCCAGCTCCCATGTCCTAAACCGGGCGAACACCTTAATTTCTGATCTGGCATCGATGACCCAGCCTGAAGTCCTGCCCTAATGGACAAGAGACACCAGACTCGCTCGGGCACTAAGTAAGCAAACAGCTTCTCTGCAGACGGCCATCTCCCTAACACGGAGCCAACGCAGCACTGGGCATGAACAGGACGTTTGGTAACTGGAGCTCAGTCTTGGTTCTGCCAGAGAGCAGGGCCACGACGTAGGAATGGCCCCTAAGGAGAGGATGCCAGCAGGACTGCCAAGCAAGACGCAGTAACATTACTGTGATCGACAGATGTGAAATCTGCAAGGTAAATAACTCACATTTGGGTTAAACAACCCAAAATGCATTTTTGCAGACTAGTCCTTGCACAGTTAAAGTAAATCTCACCCAAATGAACCTGCCTGGGAACACCCCCGCAGCACATTTACTGCTGCGCACCTTCCACCCCCTCCCTTCCCTGTCAGACCAGAGCTCCAGTGCTGCGTAGCATCTGGAGCTGAGTATTTAAAACCAAGACAAAGAGAAGAGTCAGTTGTAGTCTGAAGCTTCAGAAACATCTGCACACTGGTATGCCAGTGATCAGATGGAGGTACTGAGCGGCTCACGTATCAAAACTGACTACTATCCAAATTGCTTAAATACTGAGGAACATCCCACGGGAATTCTGCAAGTCCAGCAAAATTGCTACTAAAAGTTTCCATCGTGGGAAATTCCGCCATCCAGAGCCACCTTTCTGCAGCACAAGGGAAACCCAGCACGACCCCGGAACAGCACCAACAGTTTTGAAACTCCTGCAGCTTTACACCGATGTGTTACTGTGCTAAATAAAACACAGTCACCCTACAGCAGCAGTGTGTTTCTCTGTGAAAGAAATTTTAAATTAGGTGCTGACTTTACGTTGACTTTCCAGCTGGCAAGAGGGAGGAACATAGCTGCTAAGAGACTCAAGGTCACAGACAAATTCCACGTCTCATTTCAGAGTTAGCTAGCTCCTGGCTTTCAGCCCCTTTGCTTTAAGTCACTGAAGTTTTGTATTTGAACTTACAGGGTGGCCATAAAATACACAAGAGCGAAACACTGTCAGCTCTCCATGAGATCTGTTTATCATTGTAAGAATTAATGCCAAGCAGCAGCCGTCCAGAACTAGTCACCCTGCAAACAGTGAATGCAGCCTTCACTGACAAGTACCGGATATAGAGCCCTCCACTGAAAGTCCACGGGACCAGCACCTCAAATTCAGGAGACATTACATTTCTGTTCCGCATGAGCTGTGCTAGGTTAGTGTTCTTGGGCACGGTACAGGCACAGACAGCTTATAACTCCATTATAAGCTCTTATGAATGAATACAAAGACAAAACATGGAGAACAACAAAATTACTAGAGCTTGATAAGAAACAGCTCTCACACATCAAGTCATGCCCCTTAAAACTATGAAAGTAAGGATCAAGACAGATGAACACTTCCAGAAAGGATTTTAATGTGGGCAATAGAGTAACCTTGCTGATGTTTATGGGCAGCTCCACCCATACATAAAGAGTAGAGAAGAATGTTTTATTGTTGGAAACCCTAATTTGATCTTACCCGTAAAAATATTAATGCTTTACTGCCAGGAAACACGACATTGGGCAAGTTTCTGCTCCTAATAAGCTCGTTAGTGCCAGAGTAGTACAAGCAGACCTGTTACATGTTGGAATCCCTCTGGCACTGCTGACAGCTGCAGGAGCAGTAGTGTTGAGGAGCAGGGGACAGTGAGATAGGGGTGGGCACCGTATTTTTCCACTAGACCGGTCATGGAAACGGTTAGGGTGTTTGTGATTCTCGTGCAGCATATATCGTCACTTTGTAGGCTGAAATTATACTTTTATCCTCTAATACTGTTTAACTTGCTAGTCCTAAAACTATTACTCTAATAGTGAAAATTAAACCTTCTAATTTTCTCAAGCTGAAAAGCTTTCATCGCTTTGAAGGCCTAGAGGTACGACAGGGAATCTTCCAGTCCCTGTGGACTGCTAGGTGAACCACTGCGGCTGGGCACATAAATCGACAGAGCCTTTTGAGAAACAGCAGCCTGAAAACCTCAGTATGAAATGCATTTCTCTCAAACATAAGGCTAGAGGTGTTCCTTACGAAAGCCAGCCTTAATTCAGTGCATCGGCTCTGGGAAGGAGCTCCTACCTCATGACTTCAGAATAGCCCTTTGCCGCAGCAACATGAAGAGCCGTGGCACCGGTCCGAGGCTGCTTGATATCTTCAATTCTCCCACTGTTCAGCCACTGTCGGGCATCCTGTAGCATTTGCTGCTCCTCTTCTTTTCTTGCCAGGTCTAGGTCTACACCTAAGAGGGTGAAGCACAGAAGAAAAGATTATCAAGTGAAAGCTCTCATGTACTTGCTAAACTCACTCTATGTTTCACTTGCTATACAATATTAGTAAAGTGTGTGTAATATTCAACAAAAGAAAACAGCAAAGGCATCTTCTAGGAGCTGGGAGAACTCCTGCATCTTCAACAGAGACTTCAAAGCTGTCTGACTTTAAAAAAATCTGCAAATTGAGCCACTGGTTGCAAGCCAGCCCAATTAACTAGTAGCTCAACTGTGAACCGTGAACTACGGGTGGAAGGACTGTGTTCTAAATATGCAGTGTCCTCGACTGAAATAACAGAGTCATCAACAACAGCTTAACAAACTGAATTAAACTATCGTGAGACTATAATCTACAGTGAAGATCTGAAGAGATGACCCTAAGATGTCTCCTGGAAGAGCAGTACGACCCCAGCTGTACGCTCGCTCAAAGCTCAGTACAATCCGCGAGCTGCACGCAGAGATCTGCACTGCACCGGAGCCATCCGTACCAGGCACACCAAAAGAAATATTTAGTTAATTCCAATGAGCAGCAAACTACCAGATTCTGACAAAACACAATTCTTCATCATTTTGGGGATAGAAGGCCCCAGAAAAAGTCTATTCTGATGGCTTAAGAGATCTGCTTTAGATGAAGTCAGGTCAAGTACGTTCATCACCACGCACACCTGGTACAACAGACACGGGCTATGGGGCTTTCCAGTAACAAGACAGACAAGTTTCCCACCCCAGGAAACAACTGCTGTGATGTGGGGAGACCGGGTGGGTCTGGCTGATGGGCTGTGCCAATTGCCACTAAGCCAACAAGAGGCAAAACTCTCTCAGATCTGTTTTTGTGAGGTCATATAAGGACAATATATCAATCAGGAGTACAATACAGCTCCAAGATGAACCAGACTAGAGCTCACTGACTCAGGAAAAAATATGAAGGAAAAGACAAATCTCAAGCAAGCTGAAGAGCTACTGTCCCTATGGATTAGTTCTTCCAGTATAAGAACGACATGATTCCAAATTAAATTATGGGGCATTAGGTTCCAAACAGAACAAAAGAAGACACTTACCAGTTCAGAATCTGAACTGTGAAACACTACTGCAGGATGTTGCAAAGATTAAAAATACAGCTTGCTTCAGAACAAGAATTAGACAAATTTCTAGTTGTTAAACATAATGCTATACATGCCAGGAGTTCCCAAGAAGGGCTGCACAAGTTCACGAAACAGAAAGCCATGGGGGGATTCATGAGTATGCAGAAAGCCCTTCTGGCTCAGGAATTCCTCGAGGCACGCTGGCTGGAGGCTGGGAAATGTTTGGGAAGGGAATCACACACGCTTGTCCTGTTGTAGTTTGCAGCAGGCATCTGCTTATAGCTGCCGCTGAAGACAGGCCACCGAGCGGGATGGACGCTTATTTAAAGTTTATGCCACATTTACTCCAGCAGCTACGATCCTTTTAAACTGTGTCAACGGGAAGCTTCTCGGTGGAGACAGATGGTTGTTTCAGGGCATCTTAGCAGGATGCCGCTAATGTGGTGAAGCAATGAAAAAGCCAAGCAGAAACCCAAGAAGTGTCAGGCAAAATATCTGCAGCTGAGGCAGAATTACTGCCTTCATGTGCTGTAAGGTTTCAACCATGTTATGACCACGTACAGTTCTCGACACCCACTTTAAAGAGAGACAAGTTACATGGATGTAAAGAAAGGATCTCTGGCTCTCTGGGCATCCAAGGAAGCCTGACTGCAGAGAGGAAACTAGTATGGTTTGGACAGCCCAGTAAAACAATCCCTGATGAAGACACAATTCTTCTTTTTAAATACGTCAGCAGACTAAATGTAAGGGAGAAGGGCTATTTAAGCTTATTTCAAAGCAGATGGAAAAGGGGAACAAAATGGGAGTAACCTTGTCACAAATACCACTAGGCTGGAAAGTGAAAAGTTCCTATTTACCAGAAGGAACACGATCCTGCATCAATTTTAAAAAAAGGAATGCTAACACAAATAACAACTAGCTCCCAAATGGACAGCTACAAACTCACCAGAGAAACAGTAACACGGCTGACAAAGTAGCAAGGCACTGATCTCTTCCTAACTATACCTGAAAATAGCTTCAAAAATAGAGTAACCACTACGTGCCAAGCAGAATACATCTGTTAGAGAGGACTGGATTCAGTCCAGCAGGCCAACAACCCCAACCTGCAGCCATAAAACAATCTAGACTGGAAAGAATCTTTGGGGTTCTCCCACCCAAATCCCTGCTCAAAGGAGGGTAACTTCAAACCCAGATCAAACTGCTCAGAGCCGAATACAGCTGAGTTTCGACTACCTCCAGCGATGGAGATTCCACAAGTTCCTTGGGTCCGTGTTCCAACACTGTACCACTTTCCTGGAAAACATTTTTCCCCACATATATCTCTCTCTATACATGCAGTCAGAACGTCCCTTGTTCAAACCTCTGACTTTTTCCTCTCATCCTGTCGCTTCGCAGCTCTGAGAAGAATCTGGTTCCACTCTCTCTACAGCCTCCCTCAAGGTAGTGGAGGACAGCAATTTAATGCCCCAATCAATCTTCTCCTCTCAAGGCTAAATATGCAGTCCATGTATCTCCAGTGTGGACAGTTTGGTCTGCATCAGCTCAATTTGTCTCAGTTTGTCACTTCCCACATCGCTGAGATAAATGCATCCTTCAGAAACGCTCCTGATGAACTTCTATGATGGGGTTACAGCGTTGGTGGACAAAGCGCGGGCAACTGACATCATCTACCTGGACTTGTGCAAGGCACTCGACACTGTCCTGCATGATGTCCTTGTCTCTAAATTGGAAGGACATAGATTTGACAGCTGAACCCCTCGCTCGATAAGGAACTGGCTCAATGGACGCACACAAAGAGTTGCAGTCAATGGCTCGATGTCCAGGTGGAGACCAGTGACGAGCGGTGTGCCTCAGGGGTCGCTGCTGGGGCCGGTGCTTTTTAATATATTTGTCGGCGACATGGACAGTGGGACCGAGTGCACCCTCTGCAAGTTTGCCAATGACACCAAGCTGAGTGACTGACACACTGAAAGGAAGAGATGCCATTCAGAGGGACCTCGACAGGCTGGAGAGGTGGGCCTGCGTGAACTACATGACTTCCAACAAGGCCAAGTGCAGGATCCTGCACGTGGGTCAGGGCAATCCCAAACACAAGTACAGGCTGGGCGGAGAGTGGCTCGAGAGCAGCCCTGAGGAGAAGGACTTGGGGGTACCGGTGGATGAGAAGCTCACCATGAGCCGGCAAT